TCGGGCAACTGGAGCAAAAACTTCTTTATAATCCACTCCAAACTCTTGCTTATAGCCTTTAGCTACCAAGCGTGCCTTGTACTTGTCAACTTCACCATTCTCCTTCAATTTGTCTTGTACATCCATTTGACACCAATTGGCTTTTTCCCTCTTGGAAGATTAGTTAACTCCCATGTATTGTTTTTTTCAATTGCTGCAATTTCTTCATCCATTGCCTTTCTTCATTTTTCTTCTTTATTAGCTACTTCAAAAGTGGTAGGATCACAATCTGAAAACAAAGCAAAATGAATAAGTGGGTCCTCGGACTGGTCAATACCAGTTACCTCATAATCAGCCATCCAAGAAGGTCTCCTTCTAACACGTTGAGGCCGCTCCTCTGCTTGAGTAATAGATGGAATTTGCTGCTGTTGATTCTCCTCAAGCTGCTGCATTTCATCTTCTTCATCAAAATTAGTAGAAATTTGCCTAACTGTTTCATTTGCTCAAGCTGCTGCTTTTCAGCTTCCGATTTTTCCTGCAAAAAATAAACCCAAATTTTCCTGCTATAATCATCAATGAAGGTAATTATATATCTTTTACCTCCATTAGAAGATGGATTTATTGGCCCACAAATATCTGAATGGACTAGCTCCAACGTCTTCGTTGCTCTCCATGATTTACCATGTGGAAATTGATTACGGTGTTGTTTGCTAACAACACAATTTTCACAAACTTCTGATGGCACAATAATTTGAGGAAGGCCGGTCACCATATTCTTTTGTTGGAGTGTCTTCAATCCTCCAAAATTGAGATGCCCATATCGAAAATGCTATAACCATGCTACATCCTTCAATCTTGCAGAAAACATGAATGGCCAATATTGCGAAGAATTAACGGAAACGTTCAGTTTCTCATCATGTTGACTTTAGCAATTAATCCCAGCTTTGCATCTTGAATTCGACATACTCCACCTTTTATAGAAATCTCATACCCTTTCTCTTGCAGCTGTCCCACACTAAGCAAGTTGGTTTTCAAATCTGGAACAAATAGAACGTTAGAAATAGTGTGGGTGGAGTTTTCTATGGTATGAAGAGTGACCTTTCCTTTTCCCATGACAGATATTGTGGAGTTGTCACCAAACTTGACGGTGTTGCGGAAAGATTCATCTAACTCTCAAAATGCCTTTTTATCTCCACACATGTGGTTACTGCAGCCAGTGTCTAAATACCACAAGTTTTGCTGAGTTTTTTCATTTACATGGCATACCATCAAAAGAGATACTTCCTCTTCTCCTTCTTCTTTTTCTACAAAGTTAGTACTTTCTCCATTTTTGTTATTCATATAAGTTCTACATTCTATTGCAATATGGCCATACCTATGACATCCGTAGCATTCAACATTTGACTGCAGACTTTGGTCTATAACTAGTCGAATAGTGGCCTCCTCGTCCTCGTCCTCTTCCTTGAGAATCTTGATGGGAATAATTACCATGGAATTATTGTTGGTTGCTACGATCTCTATTTCCTCTTCCTTGACCTTTTCCTCTTCCTCGTCTTCTGCCTCCTCCTCTTGCTATGTGATTTTCTGTTGATGCCTTCAATGCTTGATCATCTGCATCTTCCTGTTTGAACTTCTGCTCATACACCAACAATGAGCTTTGATTCATCAAGTGAAAGGTCATTAATATTTTTAGATTCTTCTATAGCACAAACAACAAAATTAAATTTTGATGTTAAGGATCGAAGTATTTTTTCGATCACAATGATTTCTTTTGTCCTGTCGCCATGGATTCTCATCTTGTTGACAATAGTCATCACGCGAGAGAAATAGTCTACAATTGATTCTCCCGACTTCATTCGAAGTGTTTCAAATTCTGAGTGTAACACTTGAAGCTGCTGCCTCCTTGCTCTTGTAGATCCTTGATACTTCTTCTTCATAGAGTCCCAAATTTCCTTGGAAGTTTCTTTGGAAAGAATGGTTTCCAAGATAGAATGGTCAATGGCCTGGAAGAGATAATTATTCGCCTTCAAATCCTTCAACTTTACCGCTTCATGAGCTGCTCATTGTGCTGCTGTCAACTGAGCTGAGCTCCTTCTGCTAGTGCTGGTTCAACAACGCCATTGGTAACTACATCTCAATATTCCTTGGATCGAAGGAAGTTCTCCATTAGCATGCTCCAATGGTCATAATGACCATCGAAACGCGGAATTGCTGCTTGTACAAAACCCAAATCGGCGGCCATGACGCTTTTTACAACTCTACTCTCTCACGTGTTTAACTCACAAAAGACCGGCTCTTGATACCACTGATAAACGAAAAATAAGATGCAGAAATATAACTCACAATATTTGAAGAGGGAATACATATTTCATAAACTAACCCAAACTTAATATAAGCCAGAAACTAAAACTGAAAAACATAACAATTAAGAGACACATTACACCCAAATAAACACTAACTTAATGACTCATTAAACTACCCAAAACTGACTCATTATAATACCATTAAGACTCATCAAACAACTTTAGTGCAGCCACCACATGGCCGTTACATCAAACTTAAAAGACCATTAAATTTTCTAACGGACAAAAATAAAGAAACTCTAACAAGTCTCTAGGAAACTTAGATTCTATATCATAGACCTTTTAATAATTGTGCTGTTATTTTATTTTTCTCTTAATGATAAGTTCCACTATTTTATGTGTTAACTAGGGGTGTTAACGGGCCGAGCCGAGTCGAGCTTTAGTCTTAAAAGGCTAAGCCTGTGTTTAAATGTGTCAGCCTGACCAAGCCTGTTACCTGTTATAAATATAATTATCGGCTTGTGGCCTGACTTATTTACAAAAAATAGAAACATGGTTTAGCCTGTTTTTAAAAAATAAAACAACAAAAATTTATTCTAACAGAATATACAATTAACAACATTAGTAATTCCATAAATACTCATAAATTCAATGTATATCCAAACAGTATAATATAGAATAAAATCATTCAAAAAGTCTGTTTAACCAATAAAATAAGGTGAAATAAATTGAGGAGAAAGAGAAGGTTATTACAAGTAGTATAAAAAAATATAAAAGAAAATACTAAGCTAGCCTGAAAGGCTTTAAGGCCGAGGTTTTGAAGTGAAACCTGAGGCCTTTTTGTTAAACGAGCTTTTATACAAGTTCAAACCTGGTGCCAACAGTCAATTTTAGACATATAAACTCAGACCTTCACGAGTCGAGATAAAAGCCCTTAGTTCATTTAGCACTATTAATATATGATATGCTCTCACTTATTACATAAGAGTATATAAGGAAATAATAACCAAAATGAGAATATAACAGGTGGGTCCGGGTCATTAAGAGACCCGAATATAGAAAACGGTGTGCTAGGGTGGGTCTACGACAATAGAAAACCACTGCAGGGAGCGTGTGAGTGATTGCCACGTAAGGTCAGAGGAGTCCAAAGGGAGCTTCTGCGGTCGACACGTGTACAACTCTTCGGAAAGATTAGTGTCATCGCAGTCGTGGCACTTGCACTTGCACAAACACTTGCCCTCACGCGCTTTTGAACTGTGACTGCAGTAGCAAACCCGTGCGTAATAAATGTAATAAAACGTCACGCATGACAACACGTGATCGTCACCTCGTCAAGTTCAACTACAGCTATAGCGCGTGTGAAGTCATCATTATTTATTGCGTTACCTTGATCTTCGCTAGTCACTAGCCTGACCAGGTCTTCCATCATTCGTTGCCTTAATAAGAACTGACTTTGTGGATGGTAATTCTTTCGAAAATTCTTAAAGCGATTTAGTATTTTTTGATCCTCGTGAAATACAAGTATTTAACTATACTTTAAAATTTTTATTTATTAAAAAAATAAGAAATGACTTTTAGAAAAACTTCAATAAATGTTTATAATATTTTCAATGAAAAATAAGCTACCATATTTAAGGATAAAAAGTTAACTTCTCGCGTTTGTATTAACTCATGTGGTAATCAATTATCAAATCAGTCATAATATTTTTCAATAATATTATGTCTCCCATGATTAATTTGTTTTTCCTCGGTAGTCGCTCCCTATATCAACAAAAGATTACCCGAGCATTTCTTCATCATTAGTAGGGTTTATCATCTCTCATATTATGGGAGATAAATTATCTTCAACATATAAATAAATGTGCGTGACATTTATATTTTTTTTTCCACATGATCTCATATAAATTTTATATACTTTTATATATGTAGAAAATAAATGGGATAAATAACAATCATTTTACAGAAAAAAGTTTACTATCATGCAAAGCTACAGACAAAAGATAATTATTGAATACAGTGTTTGTTATAAATTTTTTATTATTATTTATGTTTTCGTTTTGCTTTGCAGAAAAAAAAAATTAGTTACTGCAACAGTACCAAACCAAAGCCCAAAATAAATTTATTTCCTATAATATAAAAAATATTAAACTCTTATTATTATTATTATTATTATTTTTATTGGTATTTTAGATGGAAGAGAATCATTTGATATTGATGTGAAATAACAAATTAAACCATGTAATGAAAGTAAACGTCTATAACAATTAATATTAATCTTATCTTGATTTAACAATTTTAATTTATAAATATGTGACACCGTTAATTTTAATCTATCAGCTTTTAGATTAACTGTCAAATTTTTTGTTTAACACTTATATATCCGTTTCCATTTTAGATATTATCTAACTCCCCTAGTGACTCTGGCCACGCTTCAATAGAGAGTGTGGGTGCACGCTGTGCCGCGTTGAGTTGAGAGTTGAAAAAGCGAGGAATGTCCTGCCGCAAGTCTTAACGTGTGGTCGGCTCCGTTTAGAATCCGCGCCAGCTATATGTATAAGAAAGCACAAACACCCCCTTGTCTGTCTCATTCACCGTTACCGTTACCGTCACTGTTAACATTGTTATCCATTCTAACCATCCGTCAAACACGAACCCTTTGTTCTCTCTATATATTAGATTGAAACCCCACTCCTCATTATATTCAAACTAAAATAGAAACAGAACACAACAAACATTAACAAAAATAGAAGCTACACAAGTTCTTAGCTTTCTTGAAACGAAGCAGAAGACTCGAGCTTTCAATTTTCAAGCAGTACAAGGTCGGTGGGTTGTCTGAAAAAAACATCTACCTATTATATATCTGTTTACTGTCTTTTTTTTTTTTTTCTTCCTTTGTTTGTATAAATTCTCAATTTTTCAGCTTTTGAGTTATTCTCTCCTTCATGATTTCAGCATCTTGCTTCTTATTTTTCTTCTTATTTGATTGGTGGGCATGGAATTAGGAGAGTGATTTATGGGTTTGAAACAAAATTTCTGCTTTCATAGGTAAAAAAATAGTTTTTATGCTGTTTCCATGTGGAGTGGGAGCAATTAAAAAACAGAATCGATAGATAATATTAATTGTTATAGACGTTTACTTTCATTACATGGTTTAACCACAGACCTCTGATTTTTTTGAGCAAATGATTTGGGTGTAAGGTCAATTTGTATAGTTTTCAAGGATACTACAGCATGAGAAGATTTTCACTTGCTGTTTTACATTTAAGATGAAATGTTTTTAAGGTCAAGCTTCTTCCTTTTTAATAAACTTGTGGCAGTGTACAATTTCCAGCGCAGACTGTATTATTTACTTGACTGCCATGTTAAATACCAACAATCTATAATTTAAGAACATCTCGGTTTGTGTTTTTGAGTGTTATTGTGTGTCTGTGTGTGTAAGCATGTGTTATCTTTCATTGATATGCACCTTTGAGAGCACAACCACACCCAGACATGATTTTGATTACTTCTACTTTTTAACATGAAACTAATTCTAAGCTCCAAATTCGTTAGTTTCATTTATCTGCTTTAAGGCATTAATTAATCAGTGATGCTCACATTATAGTGGGGCAAAAGAGGATGGATGGATTTAATTTTCCAAACTTAATTAGCTTGGATTTTGCCACTGTTTATGTGTCTCCTACTTCCTCCATATTTATGGTTCTCTACTCGGTCGCAGTTGGCCTAGAAGATTGGTATTGTGAACTTGTTATTGTGCTGTTATGAAAATATACTTACATGCCTTTGTATATTGTCATTGCAGGTTTATATATTGAAACTGTTGGGGTTCAAGTTCCAAACAAAATCTTAAGAAGTTTTCCTAGGGTGGTGAATTTCTGATTTGCTTGTTCGATTTTAAAGATCTCCTCCACATAAAGCAGCTGATGCCATCATCATATATGGACTCGCAGCAACTTTTCAGTTTCAGTGTGGCTAGTGCAGGATTACCTTACATGCCATCTTTTCCCACTATTCCATCCCTACCAAGCAGGCTTCTTGGTTCCGTGAAATTTGACACAGGAAACTCACCTAATTCACCCTTTTCCACTCATTTTGATTCTGATACACTTTCTGCATTGAGTGACAACCAGGAGCAACACAGCTCTGGAGAAATCCTCTCATGTGTAAGCCCCTCTCGTAACTCTTCACTGGAAACCAACCATTATATGCATAGATCAATCTCATCTGTGGACAGACTCAGAGACAGTTTGCAACTATATTCTCCTAGGAGCTCTCTTCCACAGAATGCAATTTATAACCAGAAAATCAGACACGCATTGCTGGAACTAGAAACTGCTCTGATGGCACCTGATGATAATGAAGTTACCACATCAAATACGTCATTGGCTGAGAGCAGCAGGCCAACGACATCTGGTCAGAGATATAGGTCCTGGAGCCATGAGCACCAGGAGTCACAATATATTCAAACTCAGCCATCATATGTTACCAGCTGTAGGCAATCGAGTGAAGTTGAACATGTAGAGAAACGGCAGAAGTTGATGGAGGAAGCATCTCTACAAGGGTTCCCATCAAGCAATTTGAAACAATTGCTGATTGCATGTGCCAAAGCCCTGTCTGAAAACAACATGAAAGATTTTGATCAATTGATAGAAAAGGCTAGAAGTGTTGTGTCTATCAATGGGGAGCCAATACAGCGGCTTGGTGCTTATATGGTAGAAGGGCTTGTTGCAAGGAAGGAATCTTCGGGGAATAGCATCTATCGTGCCCTTAGGTGCCGAGAGCCTGAAGGTGAAGAATTACTCTCTTACATGCAATTGCTGTTTGAAATCTGTCCTTACTTGAAATTCGGTTACATGGCTGCCAATGGAGCCATTGCTGAGGCATGCAGAAACGAGGATCACATACACATAATAGACTTTCAGATTGCTCAGGGAACTCAATGGATGACTCTTCTTCAAGCTCTTGCAGCAAGACCTGGCGGGGCTCCCCACGTGCGGATCACAGGGATTGATGACCCCGTTTCTAAATATGCTCGTGGCGATGGACTAGAGGTAGTTGGGAAAAGGTTGGAGTTGATGTCTAAGAAATTTGGCATCCCAGTTGAGTTTCATGGAGTGCCTGTTTTTGCTCCAGATGTGACAAGAGATATGCTTGATATCAGGACTGGAGAGGCTTTGGCTGTGAACTTTCCCTTGCAACTCCATCATACAGCTGATGAGAGTGTTGATGTGAGTAACCCAAGGGATGGACTTTTGAGATTGGTAAAGTCGCTTTCACCCAAGGTGACCACACTCGTGGAGCAGGAATCAAACACAAACACAACTCCTTTCTTTAACAGGTTTATAGAAACCTTAGATTACTATTTGGCAATCTTTGAGTCCATTGATGTCACCCTCCAAAGAAATAGCAAGGAGCGGATTAATGTGGAGCAACATTGTCTTGCCCGGGATATTGTGAATGTTATTGCTTGTGAAGGCAAGGAAAGGGTAGAGCGACATGAACTGTTTGGCAAGTGGAAGTCTAGGTTAACAATGGCTGGCTTTCGTCAATGTCCTTTGAGCTCTTATGTGAATTCTGTTATAAGAAGCCTTCTGAGGTGCTATTCAGAACATTATACACTAGTGGAGAAAGATGGGGCCATGTTGTTGGGGTGGAAGAACAGAAATTTGATATCAGCCTCAGCCTGGCATTGATAAAAACATAGATAGGAATTGCTGTAGTGGTAGTAGAAATATCGTGATGAAGGGAAGCGAAATGATGTTGGAGGTGGTAGTAGCTGACTGAGGTTTATGTTGATTTCTTGTGCCATGTAACCTTTATCATTGTTTTATAGGTCTTTGCTCCTTTCATTTGTCCATGAAGAGTCTCATGTACTAGTGGTAGTATATTGATTCTTTTATACAGTGTTTATGTATGTTCGCTGCTCTGTAATATAGATGTTGAAACTTGTGTCTGCAAATAGTACTTTGCTTCCGGTATAAATTATGTGAATCACAAATTTTTGAACTGACTGGCGTACTGCATTCTTATGTGATACACTTCATTGCATTCTTATGTTTTTTGATAAGATTACTTGCATAAGCTGGTCATGGTGATTTGATTTTCGATAACTTATAAAAGATGATAATTAATTATCCCCTCCCAAACAGAAAAGATGATCGGTTTGCCAGTTTGGACATGATGGTTTGTCCATGTTTATGCTTGATCATAAAATTTCATAGTCGATTCTTTGCTATTTTTAATGGCTGGCTATATTTGTCGTTTTTGTATTCTTGAGTTTGGATAGATAAGATCTTTCTTTTGGTTGAAACTGAAGTTAAAGATAAAATGGTAGTTGTAGTTGTATGCTTGTATCTAGTCCAGTTTATAATGTCTTGTAGTTTAAAGATGAAGTTAAAGGTTTGAATGTGTCCGCTCCATAACGTCAAACATCAATTTGCTATAATAATAATTACCCAACCGAAGTACACAAAATTATCTCTCTTTTCTCTCGCTTTTTATATATAGAAATCATGGGTATGCGGGGCAGGGGGTTGTTATCAACTTGCAATTGCATATACACAGAATTGATGGGAAAACAATCAGAAGCATGGAGGATAGTGGTGGCAAATTGACATTATTTATATATAAAAATACACAAGTTTGTATTCAGCTCAATGTTAGCACAGGGTGGGGAGGAAGTGTGTTGAGATATATAAAAGTATTAATGTAATCTCACCCAACAGCTTAAGCTTTTGGGTTGAATTGGTTCTTTACATGGTATCAGAGCTTCGGTGTACCTCACCGTCCTTCACATTTTTTCTAGTGGAATTTTTTTCTTCGCACAGATAGGTGGGTCTGTACATCGTCCACCCTTCAAGTCCAGTGGGCTCTCGTGTGAGGGGACGTGTTGAGATATATAAAACTATTAATGTAACTTCACCCAACAGCTTAAGTTTTTGAGTTGAATTTGTTCTTTACATAGTGATTTATCTCATGAATATTCGAAATGACTTTTTGGAGATTCGAAATATTCCAATCAGTTGATCGTTTCGTGACTAGTTTGATTTGGAGCGGGTCAGGATTAAGGTTTTAAACCTCTTCAAAGGTGATACTGAGAGAAATTGAATACATGCTCTCACCTTCACTTACTCAGTTCTTATGCGCCAATTAAATTATCACCATTTGGTATGGAAATGACTAGCTTGTACAAGGTTATCGTGGGTGGATCTTGCAAAGGGCCTGAGTCCAATGCAGAGGTCTAATTGAAGAAGCGTTTTGAAATGCCCTTGTGGATTGTGTCATCACTTTGGGCCATCGTTTTGGGCTTGCCTAAAGCTATTCTTTCCCTCCCCTTCAGGCTTCAGCTAGTCCAGCAACGTTTTAAAAATTGAATTGGTCATTCAGATTTCATTCATTGAATTGATGAAGATATTGGTTCACAATTTATTATTCGAACTATGATTGAACCGTAATCAAACCTGTGATAATCAAATGTATATTTTTAATTTTGTATGATATGTTAAGTAACAAACAAACAATATTCTAAGAAATTAAGTAAAGTAAATTTTTTAATTAGCATACAATGATCATATTACGTGTTTTGCAAGACAAGAAGTTAATAATAAATTTTTTACTAATGACAATTTATATCTAAATATGTGAGCCTTTCTAACTTGACACTGGACTTTTATTTAAGTAAAATTTGTTGAATTAAAAAAAAAAACTAGTCCTCCATTAATTGGACCAGTTTCCATCAATTCTCTAGTGATCATTTGATTTTTTCGGTTAAATAGACCGGTTCACTGGAATTTTTTGGCAGATACTGTCCAATTTTTTCGTATTGGTTTCAAGATTTGAAGTCATGCACTGTGAGTAACTAATGTATGTTCTACATTGGAAAATTAATTAGAGGTCACCTTCCACCGCCCTGATAGATTATTGTAGGATCTTCCTGATTCAAGTGGGGTAACAGTCAAGCAGTTGTATAATGTTTTGGCCAATCTTTTAGAGGAAATCCCTCAAGTGAACAACGTGTGGTCTCAGATTTGGCAGGTTAAAGGACCAAACAAAATTAGTCTCTTTATGTGGAAGACAGCACATAACCGTCTACCAACCAAGAAGATGCTGTCAATGTTAAATATGTCTGCTGCTACCTGTCCGTTGTGTAACGGGGATGAGGAGTCCATATTGCACATGGCTAGAGATTGTAGTCGAATCAGAAATGTCTGGTTAGACCTTTTACATCCTGATATGGTAAGTGAATTCTTTACTGTTGATCTTGATTATTGGCTTTCGTTAAATTTGAGAGTTGATTCGATGAGAATTTTCAATGTTTCCTGGTCTTTGGTATTTACTGTGATTGTGTGGCATGCCTGGTTGTGGAGAAATAATATTGTTCATGGTGGTGCTTTTGATCGGTACTCTTATAAAATCGATACTATAGCTCAGCGGATTAAGGAGTACGATCAAGCTTGGCTAAGCTGTTATGGTGTTAAGACTAGAAGGTCTCATGAATTTATTTCTGTTTGTTGGACTCCCCCGGAGTCTGGATGAATAAAAATTAATATTGATGGGGCAGCTAGGGGTGCTGGTCGAGGGGCTACTTGTGGTGCGGTCATCAGGGATGAAACAGGTCGTTGGCTCCAGGAATTGGCTTATGACATAGGTCATTGTTAAGCTTTTGTTGCTGAATTATGGGGTGTCCTTAAAGGTCTTGAAGCAGCTTGAGCTGGTGGTTGGAGGCGTTGCTTATTAGAAAGTGATTCTAGCTCAGTTATCACTCTACTCACCAAGAATGGTAGAGTAGCTCGAGAGTCTCGTTTGGTGACTCGCATTCGAGCGTGGTTGCAAAAGGATTGGGAGGTTCATTTGGTACATGCTTACCGCGGATGCAATAGTTGCAATAGTTGCGCTAACTGGCTATTTAAGTTCTCATTGGACCATCATATGGAGAGTAATTTATATTTTTTTCCTTCTCCTCTCCCTGCTATTTTGCCTTTGTATTTGGCAGACTTTTCTTTGGTTTGTAATTCTCGTAGGGCTGTTTTGACTTGATTGTTTTCGGGGTTTTTCCCCTTTATGTTACCAAAAAAAAAAAAAGTGTTTAGGTTCAAGAACTGGTTTTTAAAATTAGTTTTTTTTAGTGTAGTGTTATTTTGTAGTTCTTTTACACACTCCTAAAATTGGTTTTTGAATCAGTTCTGTATCCAAAAGAAAAGTATGAAAATATTGAGAAAAAATAAAAAATATAAATGATACTACAAATTAAAAAAAAATAAATAATTAAAAAAATACAATAAAGTAAAAATAAGAGAGAAAGATATATAAGAGAAAAAAGAAAAATAAAAAATAAAGAAATAAAAATAAAGATAAAAGAATGAATAAAATAAATAAGGAAGAAAAATAAATAAAAAATAAGAGAACAAAAACCCAATACGGTTCATGATTTTTTAAACCAGTTCGGTTCAAGAAATGGTTTTTAAAACCAAATTTTTTAAGTGGAGTTCAGTTTAGTTCAATTTTTTGGTTCTTTTGTACACTCTAAGTCACTATTTTCATAAAGGGAAATATTTTGTCTTTTAAAGAACACAAGTTGTGTCCTTTTAGCTGCTTATAACTATGAACTCCGCGGAATACATAATTATAATATTAAAGTTATACTTTTTTTCACTTTGCACGGTAGCCCACAAGTTTTGAAGGGAGAAAAAAAAATATAACTTTAATATTATAACTATGTATTGCCCAAAGTACATAGTTATAAATTGCTAAGATGACATAACTTGTGTCCTTTAAAATGATAAACTATTTTCCCTTTCATAAAATAATGCTTGACAACCATTTAAACCGAATGTTTATTATCAAATCATAAACCATCATATATTTGCCTTTTGTATGTATTCTGCCTGAATGGCAGAGATGTTTAACCGTAGGTTAATTAATTGATCTAGGATCTGGTGCTCTCTCTAGATACCTATGAATTAGGTATCTTGGGGGTAGAAAATCACAACACACTGTATACTGGCCTTAGCCAAAGAGGGGGTGGTGTGTGTGCTTTGTGTTTGCATAAAATAGGTTAAAGAGAGATTAGTCATACATGTGGTCTTTAGCCTTTATTTATTGAGCTTACCTTAGGCTTCACATTGTTTGGGCCTTCTGAGGATATGGGCCTTACCCAGGTCCAAAACAGTTGCCCCCAGCTCGGTAGACTAATAGCTCAGAGTGTCGGGATGTATGAGTTCTATGTTTAAATGCGGACGCCATGCCAGATTCAATTCTATCCCGAATTTTGCTTTAAGCCTTTTTTCTTATTTGACTGCGAAAAATGATATTCGAGCTGCCTGAGCCGATTTGTAACACCCCGTATATATCCAGTAATGTTATCATACTATCGTATTAAGCTGCGCTTAATTAAAAATTGCAGAATATCTTTTCCTTTTCAATTATAATGTCATCATCATTACCAACTTGCTTAATTAATCAATTAAATAAAATCATGCCTGTATGTAAATTGCAAAAGACATCTAACTGAGATACATCATTAATTAAAATAACATAAGTATGAGTCTCTAGTCACGGAACTACAAAACGTAGACCGGACCATCTAACAGTTTATACAACTCCAACTAAAAGTACTAACCACAAAGTGGCATGGACAAACTCCATGCTCACCCAATAAGGCAACAAAGCCCAACATCAGTCTCAATAACAGCAACATAAGCATAAATGACAGAAAACATAAACAACATCCAATCCGGTCATGCCAGCATATAACATATAACAGCAATAATCATCAGCTAAGCTCTGGCCTCCTGCCGCCAGAGACATCAGTCCCCATACTACCTGAACCTGAAATAAGCATTCCCCAAACGTGGGGTGAGATCTCTTAACAAGAAATCTCAGTAAGGCAAGGGGTCCTCAAGGATCTTCCACCCCAAGCTCACTTACATGTGCAATATAAGTTCAAAAGCAGTTTATCATCAT